CCCCAAAACCCCAAAACCCCTTAAGGAATAATATGATCGCAATTTTAGTTTAATTCAAATAAAATTTCAGTAAATTTATAATTATTACAAAAGCAACTAGGAGTCTTACTCTTATTGAAGTTTGAATCTAACGAAATCTCTAGAAAAGTTAAATTTTACTAGACTAGGTTTCTCTAAGCTTCCAACTAGTGCAATCAATATATAGTTATCCTAACTGTCTCCTCTATCGATAGCCAAAGTGTTTATCTATGAGCTATACTAGAATACTGATTGCTTCAAAATCATCGATGTAATCTTAAACATTTTTACTATTCTTGGGTGATTTGAAAATATGTTTGAGATGTATATTCCTTCTTCTGTTTAGAAAATATAGTATGGTCTTCCCTCATTTTGTGAAACTTTTTTCATTTGAAGTATCAATTCATCAATTGTAATGAGTAAGGGCACTTAGCTTGACTGCAATACAATAAAATGATGTCCTCTATTTCTATCTTATGAAAAGAGATCTTGCTTTTAAATTGAGTAAACATTTGATTGATTATCTTTAATGGCAGTATGAAGTAATAACTCTTAATCTAAGTCATCTTAGCAAGATATATAACTAGCGGAATCTCTTCCTTGAACATGAATAATTGAAGTTCTAAATTAATCTTATCTGCTACTCAGACTCATGTAGATAAGTCCTTTGCTTGTTCCAATGATAAATCCCTAATATTCTCCCAATTATAGACCAGGGTAAATACTCGTTATGATAGTGTTTTGCGTGAACAAATACTCTTATCGAATGACTTATTGATACAAATCAACTATCTAGACCAAACCTTTTTCAAACCCTACAATGAATACCTCTTCTTTATTTGTTCTAGATATAGCAAATACTTTTCTTTAAACCTCAACGCTACCAATTATGCTAAAATCAACTGAATTTCTTAACTAAATAGAATACTTTTATCTTATTCCACTTTTGAACAAGCATAGTATAATTTAGCCTTTAATCTCAAAGATTTGATAGCAAACTATTTAAGTAATATATGTTCTTGTATTGTTTCCAACTATATTAAAATCCTCTCCAATTATCTTAATATTTGTCTTCGATAAACTTAATGCAACTTATCTTAACCCTACTAAATATTGAAAAGTCAAAATGTTCCTCTTAGGATTCAAGAATGTGATCTTCTTAGATTACAGAAATGGAAGAATATCAGTTACTTATGATTGAATTATGTTTTACATTTAATTGCAAGCAACCTATAGATTACTTTAGAATATAGGAGCTACTCTATTCTTTAAGAATGGGATTAACTAGTTCTAAAATTGTGATTCTTAAATTCTAATCTCACTTTGTAGCTCTTCTCTCATTCTATTTACAGCCTCCACCCACTGAGTATAACCATTATTTTACTAATAAACCCCTCTCAATAAATCATCGAATAAAGCATCCCTTTGATTTTCAATATTTCTTATCACCTGATCATCTAAACTGGTTTAAAAACGGAAATCTGATTCAATGTAAACCTCGTCAAAATTTGAGATAGGAGGATATATTTCCTGGGAAATTTAAACTTAACTAGCTAAAAATGAATCTATTTCATCTGTCTAGCTTAAAATACTCTCATAGTGATTCGGCTGATATTAGTTGATGAAAGACTAAAATTCTAGTACCTCACTTGAAGTATTCGATCATTGCTAAAGGAAGCCAAAGATATTACCGAACTCAGAGAGTTGCTAGTTTCATGATATCGACTATAGCATCTTTGCTAGATCATTCTGATTGTTATTTTTTACTTTCAATAGTATTTCAATGAGTACTGTTTCAAGTACATCTAATACTTTCTGATGAACTTCAAATGGATTTATATATTTAGCTTCAATCTTTAGCTATTGAATGTTAAACCAAAGAATTTATCTTATATTCTCTAGAAAATTTAAACTAAGAGGCTATGATTATCTTTATTGATCATGTGGAATCGATTCTTCCATTTTTATTATTATTAATTTTCAAACTTAGGATCCCCAAGACATTGATATAAAAACTTAATGAATTTTAGACTGTGACGGATTAAATATTATAAACTTCTAATTTATTGATTTGATCAATTAATTATTTTATACCTTTCAAAACATATTTAAGAATCTTGCATAGTGGGGTTTTGGGGTTTTGGGGTTTTGGGG